TGACTAACGTTCAGTTCAGGCAGAGTTAAGTTAAAATATACTCTTGGCAAAAGGGTGTATATGAAATTAACTACCTTGGCATGTGCAGCAGGACACTCTTCACCATGGCTTTACAGGTTGAGCTGACAAAAAAATTTTTTTACACAATCACCTCCTCTAGTCATGTTAATTAATCTTTTTTATTGTTTATGTATTTATTTCTTGTTATTTAACACAGTTACTATATCCCAATGGTGACCATGTTGGTACATTCAATTCAAAAAGAATAAAGGTGAGTTTTGTTGTGTAGAGATAATACCTAATGTAATAAACAAGGCAGGTGGGGTGGAGGAGGATCCTGGGGTGCCCATGACTCCTCCCTCCCTCCCCCTTACAACCTTTTTTTCCTTCAGAAAACAACCAGATGGTGGCAAAAACTGGTGAGTACCCTGTGTTTAACACAGTGTGACTCCCGTTTGAGAAATCCTGGTTTCTCCCCTGATATCCATGCATTCCTAATAATGAAAAAAAGGCCAAGGCCACACTCAGCTGGGACTCATCCCAATTTCATTAGCATGAGGCAACAAGGAGAACTATGGTCACTCCCATAGATGGGATCCGATACTAATGCTGGTTACCTTCCCGCATTGCACATTGTAACAGGCTTCCTTGACATTGTGCTAGCACCCATTTATACTCCTGGATTTGGCTGTTTGAAGTGTGCTACACGCTATCCTCTTGACAACTCTCTATCTGATGGATAGCAAAGTACATTTTGTCAACTTTTATCTATTGGATAGGGTGTATCCATTAGTTAGCGTCATCCACTCTTTGAACAACTGGGCCTTGGGAGAGTGGGGCACTGTGAGATTTAACCTTTAACTCCCAAGATCTAATTGTTAATTCTTCCCTCTAGCTGCTACACGTTTCCTTGTAAAATAAGTGATGAGAATTTGGTGTAAGATCAAGGCAACAAATTCTACCTGATAAGTTTGAACATTCTCATAACATGTTTGCTGAAAAATGTTCAGATAATTTAAGGAGAAGTTGCATGTTAATCACTTTTGGGGGTTGAAAGTGTTAAGTATCTCACCCAAGTCAGCCCTCAAGCTTAGACCATTTGGCCACCATGTCTCCCTCACATCTCTTTAGCAATTCTCCTAACTACCTGTCAAACAATTCTTATGATATTAGTTCTAAGAATTTAGTATTGGATCAACTAATGATCTCCTTATTTATATTTTTGTTTATTCTCATCGCTTGTCTGCTTGATATTGTAAAAATTTTGTAAGGAGAAATTCTGGCTTGGTTAGGCATGAGATTGTAAGGGTTAAACACCTTTTTGATTGCACATAACTCCCTTGTGTTAACACATTTAAACTCAACCCATAATGGCTTATCCTTGTTTAAGGGCATTATACGCTATGTCTGCACACGAGTGTAAGTACTTGTATGCTACATGGGTACAGTTGCTTGCACAAAATGAAGAAACAGGTAAAATGGATTAAACTTTACTGTTATTTGTGATCTCTGTCATAGGTCAAATTCTAAAATAAATGTTAGTTTCAGGATAATGCAACAAATTCTTTAAGTTGACCAACAAAAAAGTGTATAGTGGTATTAGTCGTTACAAAGGAAGTTGGAGGTACAACTTGTTTAAAACTGTTTATGTGAGAAATCCTTATCCCCATAACAAGATAATTCTCTGCATTGCAGGTTATCTCAAAGCCTTCTAAGAAAAAGCAGTCATTAAAGAACGCTGATTGTAAGTAACACTATTTTTTTATTTAATTTTTCTTCCCGTGACAAGTCAATTCATTCATAGTAATTTAACATTGTAAGATGATGGATAATTAGGTTTATCAACTGAGTTGATGTGAATTTGTAGAATCTCGCCGTAGAGAATTCTAAAGCAGAATTTTTTTTTTCAGTATGTATCCAATCAGGCTCTACAGTCGCTCTGTTTAATCGCCTAAGATCACAAACTGTCAGCACACGATATCTTCACGTCGAAAATGGCACATTTCATGCAAGTAGCCAACAGTGGGGAGCGTTCACCATCCATTTATGTGAGTATGGACACCTCACCCTTAACAAACTAGCTTACAGGTGTATATCTAGTAAGATGTACACCTGTGCGCTGATTTTATTCCTGAGGCTAAGAGACCCTCTCATATTATCTGTAGCATGAAGGTTGTCCGGTACAAAGAATTTGTTTTTAGGCCAAGGTGCATCACTCTGATAGTACCTCTCGGTGCAAAATAACCGACTGTCCAAACAGCCGCATAATATCGCAGGATATTTTTACTACAACCGTATAATATGGCAGGATATTTTTACTGGATTCACGTGTTGTTTGCACTCTACGTAGTGCAGTTGGATGATAAATTTTATTTTACTTATTTATAACTTTTATTTCGATGTCTCCAGTACATGATGATGAATCCGAGAGTGAAGAATTTTCTGTCAGAGAAGGGTATGTGCATTATGGCTCAACAGTCAAGCTGGTTTGCTCCGTAACAAAGATGGCTCTTCCTAGACTGGTATGATGGCTTGTCTAACCGTACATGATCACACTGCTTTGTTTGTGTACTTGTGCCCCACATTATTGTTGTTGTGAAGTGGTACTAGAATTGACTCGGGCAATTTTACTTTCTGAAGGTAATACGAAAAGTCGACAAACAGACGGCTTTATTGGACGCTGATGATCCAGTATCACAACTTCATAAGGTAAGCAATGAAGCCTTGTTAAGGGCTTGAAATTTGTGTACCCTTGTGTCGATGCCCAAATTAACCCTTTCACTCCCATAATTGACCAAGACATAATTTCCCTTTACAATATCGATACAATATCAAGCATGATATTAATGGATCCAGTTATCCCATACCAAATCTTAGGAACCTTCCTCATGAACCCAACGATGCGCTTCATCATGCTTGTTTACATTAAAGTACGCCGTTAATCCCTAGGTCGCCTTTTATATGAAAGAAACCGAGAGAATGTACCTTTGTTTATCCCAAGAAAGAATTATACAGTTTCAGGTGAGTCGATGAGAAGTTTCCACTACCTCTTCTTGGTATGGTACGGCGTTTATGGACGACGAAAAGATATACTATGGATGTAGCGTGAAGATGGCTTATATTCCTAAATTCTTTTTGTGAATGCAATCGAAGATTGACGTTAAAAAAAAGTTTAAAAAATTACGATTTTGGAAATTGGTTTGCAAAACAACAAAAACCGTTTCCATTTTTATTTTGATTTTTATGACTGATAAAGGGGGAAGGGGGTGGGGATTTTTCAATTAGAGCAATGCAAATGATTTGCGTGGGTTTTTCCAAACTAATCACAGAGCATAGGCTATATATCCCCTAATCACTTTTGAAATTCATTTGATATTTTAATCGCTATTTGTGCCTGGGATTCTAATTGAACAAGCTTGTTTTTTTTCCACAGGCCACGCCTTGTCCCAAAGAGCAAAATAAGGAGATGATCAATGATGGAGCTTCTTGGACAATAATCAGCACAGGTTAGCAAATGGGTGATCAATGGGAGTTCCATGTAATTCAAAACGTTTCGATTTATACAGTACAAACCTATCGTGAATTTTCTTTTCTTTTTTTAAAAAGAAGAGGGAGAAGTAAGAAGGCACACAGTGAATGTAAACATGGCCTGTGACAAATACACCTTAACCTTACTCGTTCCTTTTCGATCAATCCTTTACTTGTTAATGTTTGCCCTACTTTAAAAAAAAAAAACTTATATTTTGTGGTTTCTCACACAAAAAACATACTTTTTTTTCCAACGGGTCTGCCTAAAACTAAATGTAACAGACTTATATCTGTTCCATTGCCGTCTCCCCCCCCCCCCCCCCCCCAACGTCTCATGAAATTTTCAGACATTGCATTTTGGTTGAAAGCATTGCTCTCGTGTCCTTCTTTGTTAGATAAATCCGAGTACAGTTTTTACGAAGGAAATGGTCCTGTGAGGTCTCCAATCACGCCTGTCCCGATTGTCAACAATTTACAGGTAATCTAACCTATCTTACATATCCGCTTTTCTAAAAGCCAACATTCTGCCTTGTTTCCAGTAAAGAAATTCGTCCTAACATCCTCAAGTTCTTCCTCTGACGATCTTTATCATTCTCTTTCCCTTTTTTTACTTTGTTTTGTTTTTTCCTCTCACTTTTGTGCTTTTCTACCCTGCTAAACGACAACTTAAAGGAATGTCATTTGAATTAAAATATCTCTGACGCCAAAAACGCCTAAGATTATCGTGTTATAGATCCTCTGAGATTTTCCCTCGGTTACTTGAAGTTCAACTCGTTTCGTGAGGTATCATGTTGGGTATGAAAAAAATTAATCTCTAATGGGTCGGCAATATAATTTGATTCCAATAAGGAATGGAACTGTAGACCTTCCCGTTTCACTATCTTCAACTTTAAGGAGGCTGAAAAAATGTATTAGGTCGATATGGTAGAACAAACAGGAGACAATTATAGACTTAAAATGAACGACGATGGCCAGAAATGTAGAACAATAAAGTGGATCAAAAATGATATTAAGAAAAATAGATGAACTTCTTGCTGCACAAGTATTGACACACCTCAACAAGGTCATAAAGTGGATGGCAGTGAATTGCCAGCGCTGCAAATGAAAATGAAATACTATTATGGGTGGGCGTGTGATGAGTCTGTCTGATAACGAATGTATCACATGCTTGAAATTTAGGTCGATTGTTGAATGTACTACCAGTTTCTTGGAGTTTACTCTCTTATTATCTTTTTTAGCTGAATGGCGGAGGAGATGTGGCCATGTTGGAGCTAACTGGAGAGCATTTCACAGCAAACTTAAAAGTTTGGTTTGGAGATGTTGAAGCAGAAACCATGTACAGGTAGGAGTGATAAAGTCTATAGAGTATAGTTCTGTGAATGTCAGACTTGGTAATAAGATTACACCAGTAACCAGCGTAACCACACATTTTAAGTTTCTTACAGTACAGATGTAGATGTTTCGTGACATCACATGCATTGTTATAGAAAATGCTGTTGTTGATCATGGTTTTAGACATAAATTAACGTTTAATCGTTTGTCTCGTGATGTAAGAGCCAGTCGTGTGTCAGTCGTATGTTGAGATAAGCAACTTGCTTGCGCTCGTAATTCGGCGGACGAACTGTGCTAATCAAGATAAATTGGTGAGGATATTTGTCAGTTAAGACCAACCAAGCATCCCAGCGATACCAATCCCATAGTCACTGTAATTCTTAATTTATCAAACATGGTATATAGCATTTCCTCATGAATTCAACTCAAGGTGTAACATAATGCAGTCGTTGTGAACGATACTCAAAGTAAACTATTTTCAAAGAAATTTTGAAGGGTCTAAGGAGAACTTCAATCCAAAATTTTCCTTTAGAGTATGCCTTTCTCGGGTTTTTTCGCGCTAGCGTAAAATTAGAACCTTTTAACCCACTGCTCTCATGCTTTTCCTGTTCCTTCTATTTTAACAGATGTGGCGAGAGTCTGTTATGTGTTGTTCCAGACATCTCGGCCATTCGTGGTGGATGGCGGTTTGTCCGGCAACCCACTGAAGTCGCCGTCAGCCTCGTTCGCTCTGACGGAGTTATCTATCCTACAGGACTTACGTTCACCTATACACCAGAGCCAGTGGAGAGACCTTCTTCTTCCATATCAGAAACGGTGTTACGAGCCGATCTCTAGGAACAATGAACCACACCGGGGGAAGAAAAGTCCCAGTTATATGAAGGGAATTACTTGCGACTGTCCCACTAGGAGTCGGAAAGCAAACCTAGAAGAGCCATTCAACCAACGCCTATTCCTTCTGTTCGTCCATTTTGAAATTACGTTTTCAGAACGTTCAGCGACGTTGCATTTAGCGGAACAGATACACAACCTATCGTACCAGAGTCACTCACGAACAAAATTTTTATCCCTTTAAATATGAATGTAACAGTTGTAAATATAGTCTTTTTAGTCAGCTGTGAAAGTACATTGTAGGCACGGAGAATTTTGCTGTATTTCAAAGTACTGCATAGCAAATCGTGTCGCATCCGAGCTATATTTAGGTAGGTTTTTGGCTCAAGTCAGTCAGTCGTCCTAAAACTATCCTGAGGTCAGGAAAACTGTGCTTCTTGTATTTTTTTTTGACGTTCATAATTTATTTTTGGATTTAAAGTCAGAGTAAGTCAAGTTTTTGTCGTGCATTTCATGTGAGAGAGTATCTCAATGATTAGCCCCGCGTTGTTGTTCTTCATCCGATTCCATCCAATTTACGCATGTCCAAATGTCTGTCGCGTGACTTGACTAATGGAATATTAACCATTCAGGGTATAACTACAAGCAGAGAAAACTATAGCTAATAAATATATTTACGTTTGAATCCAACTGTTTTTGAGGTTCATTTCCATTGCTAGTCCTTATTTGTACTATACTACCATCCAATGTCTACGTAATGACTAAAGGGTTCCCTGTAAAATCCAGAAGTTCAAATTTCAACCAAGCCTGAGGGGATCGCCATTGACAATGTCCACTGCTTTAAGAGTGTCTGCCAGCGCTATCGATGACTGAAGTAAAGCTAGGACAAGAAATGACGCAGTTCAAGGTTAAACCCAACACGTAGTCGAGCCATAGCATGAAGCGACTAGGATTAGTACAACTTCCCCCCCAGCAGGGATAGGGATGCCATTCTATCGCAAGAATACCCTCCAGTCTATCATCAGGCTTCCCTGACAAGTCGGCGGTACCGATTGTACTCCTGGATGGAGAGAGGCGCTGTGAAAGTTACGCGTCTTACCCATGAACACGACACATTGACTTAGCAAAGTCTCGATCGATGTTATGTTCGACGATTCTCCATGTGGGTTTGGCTTTTCACCATTTCAGCGAACATTCCACCACTTCTCATTAACACCTCGGGTTTGTCAAACTCCACTACTTGCCCGTCGTCAAGAACCAGCACCTTGTCATAATCCATAATGGTGTTCAGACGATGAGCAATGGTTAGTACAGTGGAGTCTTTAAACTTGTGGCGAATAACTTGCTGGATCAGACGGTCAGTCCTGAAATCCACATTAGCAGTGGCTTCATCCATGACGATGATTTTGCTCTTCTGGACCAGAGCACGAGCCAAACAGATAAGTTGCCTTTCACCAACGCTAAGATTTGTCCCAGATTCTTTAATTTTGAATTCAAGCTGCTTTGGGAGACCTTCTACAAGGGTCCTTAGTTGCACAGCTTCTAGAGCTGCCCATAATTCTTGATCGGTATGTTTTGAAAATGGGTCCATGTTCCTTCTTAATGAGCCTCCAAATAGTACAGGATCTTGTGTAATAACAGCCATACACCTACGGGCCTGCTGTAGGTTAACTGATGCTATGTCAACTCCATCGATCAGTACCTGCCGAGAAGAATATATTGCTTCTAGGACACAATCTTAAGCAAAACTAGTTAAAAATTCATATACCCCCCTTTTCCCATAACCGCGGTGTTTGTTTATTCGGTCGTTTGTTTATTTTTCTCTTTTTGCGTGGAAAGGCATGTAGCACTTTGTAAGTGCACCAGCATAGTTGTAAGGAGGAACTGACAAAGTAAATATATTGGCTTAGATTTCTAAAACAGACTTCGCAGAATTGATGTTAGAAGAACCACGTTTAGTGAGATGACCCAAACAAGTTTAAAAAATAACGCTGTTAAGTCGCATCCGGTCACATCAAGAATGACTGAACTGTAAAGCTGTCACTGTATCAGAGACGTTTGACTGTTCTCAAGTCGTGTTCTTGGTCTGTTTATTTCTTTGTTCGTTTGTCTTTTTCAGAAGTGAAATGAAAGCACGACAGCATTTTTTTTGTTCCCTTTTTTAACCGTTAAACATCCACGCATGCGTTGTTTCAAGGACGCCCACGTTCATGGCCTCTAGCAGTTCACTCACCTTTCCAAGGGGATCTGGCATGCGGAACAAAGCTGAAACCAGGGAAGACTTTCCAGCGCCTGTGCGACCCACAACTCCGACCTTTTCCTTATTAGAGATCCGAACGTTGATGTCTCTTAAGATTTGAGGTCCACCTTCAAAGTACGCCAAAGATAGATTTTCGATGGCAAAGCTTCCTTCGCCGGGCCAGGACTCTGAAGGATAGATATCAGTGCTATAACCAGGCTCAGAGTCTAATTCAGAATACACCATTGCACGTTCAACGGAAGTCATCAAGTTTTCGACTTCTGTAGCCATTCGCACACCATATTGCGTCCGGTCCAGCGTTTCCAGTGCGTACATCAACGCGAGTCCAGCAAAGGCTAAACAGTGTAAAGAGACACATAGCTGGATGCATGATTAACTTGGTCTCCACTGAATGGGAAAAACTAACTGGGAAAATCTAAGACAGATTTATGGGAACTACAGTTGCAAACAGGATAAACAGGGACAGGAACTACGCTCTCCCCATAAAGTTTCTAAACGGTGTTAAGAGAATTCCCAGAAGAATTTTACGAATCGTAGAGCTCGTTCCCGAAACAACAATCAAAAAGGTTTTCACAAACTCGCCTGGATTCTCTGCAATCAAAATGGCAGCCACTGCAACAGTCGTTGCGAATGCACTCGACAACAAATCAAGGCGAATTCCCAACCACCGATTACACGACACCACCATAAAAAAAGCTTGTGTATTCTCATCCTGATACCTGGAAGGCAAGACTAGGATTGGCTCAGATTTTACTCAGCTAGGTGGGTCAAGACACTCATTGGCGACCCATTAAAGGTCCTCGAAATCCCTGTTTTTCTAGAAACCAAGTCTTTGCGTGCGATGGAGATGCTCAGAATCTAATGGTCTTGACCAGTTTATTCGGCTGGTATTCAAGATGTTCAGCATAATCAAACTTCGCCTAAGCGGGACTTAACAATTGCTTTCATAAGCTCGTGACGTGATAAATTACTTCCCACAAAATGCGAAAGTGAAACACAGACTAACTGGTCAGAGAACTACACTGATTAAGGTGATGTTTACAAGCCCACCTTAAATAAACTTAATTCGAATATAGCTCGCCACAAAAAATAAAACAAAACAAAACAAAACAAATAGCTCGTTCGACTAACCTTTCAAGCCTCTCTAAAAAGGCTTTGTTCTTATTTGAGATATGGATTATCTCCAGTCCGTGGATAGTTTCCGTAAAGTGTGAATACACTGGGCTACATTTGATGGCTTCGATTCTCTTCAGCTCTCTGGAGGAAGCTAAATAATAACGTGCATAGTACATAAATATGCTTAAGATAGGAAGAAGAGCTAAGAAGAGCCAGTAATTTGTCACAGCAGGAACTAAAAAGGACAGGAGCGAGAAAAGACACATTGTAACCGATTCTAGAAACCGTATCGGTAATACATCATCGATGGTGCCAACATCCTTTGAAAAGCGATTCAGGATGCGACCCCCTGGGTTTGTGTCATAAAACAACACAGGAGCTTTGACGATCGTCATGGCCATTTTGTTGTGAAGATTTTCTGCTGCTTTCAGAAGGAGAAAATAAAAGGAAACACACGATGTTGTCATGACTACCATGGAAATTCCCACTAAACTGGCGTGGATTGCTTGAGTGTCTGTTCCTTTTTGCTGGGTAGGCGACATCTCTGAAATTCTAGCTAACCACCAGTTTGGAGCCAGGAGGCAAACTGTAAAAAATGGAACAATATCAATACCTTGAAAGTTCATCTGCCTTTTGCACTAATAGTACAGAAACAACATCAATCAATATCGGAACTGACTAACTCTTTAAATAGAGGTGGAAGGTGTTATCAATGAGTTATTCATTCATAGCTTAGCCAAGAATTAAGACAAACCAGAACAAGTATGCCACAAAAGCGTAGAAAATTCCGTAAAAATTGAACAGCATATGCTAGATATTTCCCTGTTTTATACAATCTTAGACACCTTTGTGAAGTACTTGTTCTGGTAACAATCAGTGTTATTAAGCAAGATGAATTACCTTGCGATAAGATAAGAGCAACTGCCACATGCATTATCAAAGGCACTGAGAGTCCTTCCTTAAAATACTTCCAATAAAGTCGCCAGGTCACAGTGCCAGTTCTTTTTCCTTCCTCCTCTTCCTTCAGGTCAAAAGCTTGGTTGCCGTGTAAGCGTTGAACTTTACACATGTTTGCCGAAAACTGAGCCTGAGAACTCTGGCCACATCCGACTTTCACTTTTGCAACGCTGCTTGTGGAAATCAGGTCACCCTCGTGCAGTTGCATTTCACAACGCTCTGAGTCGGAAACCAACGTACCTGATTGATTTCCATTATTTATGTCTCCCCCGTCCACACTTATCTTCAATATCTGCTTTGCTCTCTCTTCAAATTGATCTGATAAATCGAGAATTTCTGAAAGTAACCCCTTTTCTTTAAGGTCAATGTACGTGCCCTGATGATTAATTGAACCGTTTTTCATCACAACAATACAATCAACGTCTCTCAGATATTGTAGCTGATGAGTGACCAGGATTCGAATACAGCCCGATAGATTATCGACTATACAGCTCTCGAAGAGTGTTCTTCCTACTTTGGTGTCTAGTGCACTAAGAGGATCATCAAGCAAATAAATATCAGCATTTGAATACACTGCACGAGCTAAACTTACTCGAGCTTTCTGACCTCCGCTAAGGGACACTCCACGTTGCCCAACTTTTGTGAGATCTCCTCTGGCGAAGTCAGATAAGTCTTTGGACAAACCGCAAATGTCTACAACATTCAGAAACTTCTCCTCGTCAAATGGCAATCCAAACAAAATGTTCTCTCTCACAGACCCAGAAAATACCCACGGTAATTGAGGGACAAAGGCAACTTTCCCGTGATATGTTATGGTGCCTCCACGAATGGGTAGTTCCCCCAAAATTGCAGATAACACCGAGGACTTTCCACTCCCCACGGGACCAGTAATTGCCAACAATTCACCAGCACGTACATTGAGTGTTATATCGCACAAAGTTAAGGCCTCGTTGGAACAGTTGTGGTCCCAAGAACAACACACGTTGGATATCGAGAGAAAGGGATATCCTGAACGCAGGTCATCTTTTGGATTGTCTGGCCCCTTTGTCATTGAGCCGTCAAATTCTGAGGAAATTTCTATGGAAAAGTCCTCTCGTCCATTGCAGTTTGTCACTGGAAGGCCTTTCTCCATCTTTTCTTCAACTTTGGAATGGTTATCGTCGATATCTAACAGTCTTGTCCGAGGCTGAGTTTCACCATGGAATCTTCTACCTATTTCGAGCCCTGGCTGCTTTTCTTCGAGAAATGTCTGTATTCTATTAAGAGCTACTTTAGCATCTGCGACAATGTACACAGAGAGACTCAAGCTGTTACAGAACGCAAACTTAATCGTCACTAATCCAAGGAGTAGCGTGAATATTGTAAAAGATGACAAAATGGTTCCTGTTAAAACCAGCGCTGTTACTGAAATCAAAGCTGCAATTGGAAGCGTTGTAAATAATAGAACAATCAGGAAGCAAACGATGAGGCCTTTCTTTCGGATAACTGCCATCTCCTTCCTTCAAACATAAATAGATATACCAAAACATAAATAAATAACAGGTATGTACAAATTATCGAACGTGAAAGTGAACGTTACAGCACACACTGTACACCAATACGTGGCCGTAACGAAAATAAAAAATGTCCTTGACAGGAGAAAGAGATCCTTCCTCGCCTTTTCTTTTTATTGAAACATTAATAAAACTCCCCCACCTTACGCGATTATTTTCTTATTTTTTTAAAACAGGCAATAATGCTTGCAAATCATTTTCTCGCACAGATTATCCATTCGTCTAAAAATTATTAATGACATAACTAATAAAACAACTTCCCCTTGATATGTTTTCTTCCATACCTAGGTGGTGAATTTCATTATTCAGTCACGTTGGTCTCTACAGCCAAATACAAAATTAGAAAAATTAATTACTTGCGGAGGTCACGAACTACATCAATGAAATTCCATTCCCAAGCGAACATCTTAACTGCTCGTATTCCAGCGATGATTTCATTCATCACCATGAGCCGTTCATCTGTGAAAGTAGCTGCTTTCTTTCTAAGATCGGCAGCTTTTCTTGCCAACAAAATTTGGAACGCCACTAAGACGAAAAACACTGTAGCTCCAATCAAAGCCTCCCAGCCAATAAAATACCATAGGATACCCAAGCTGATTGAGAGTTCCATCGGCGCGGAGAATACCATGCCCAGCTGGTTTAACGACTTCTCTATTTTTTGAACGTCATTCGAGACCAGGTTTATTGTGTTTCCAGAACGCGTAGCCTCCAGGCTGTAACGATTTAGCGAAAGCATCTAATTTTCCATAGAAGAGCAAATATAACTGTAAGTAAACCTTGATAGTTTTTGACAACAATTTTGAACCAAAAAACACGTTTATACTATACTTGAAAAGCACACAAACAAACAAACAAACAAACAATAACGGCTGAGGAAAAAGAAATGATCAGCAACATATTTCAAGGCCAGCCATTAACAGTCTTTGTTAATCTTAGCTGTCTTTTTCTACCCTCCTTGGTGATTATGCTATTCTGCAAAACTATATTTCAAGGTTAATAACAAACTGAAGACAGAGTAACGTGGAAAAAAAGGGAAAGAAAACCTAAGGAAGGCTTACCATAGAAACTTACCTTTTTATAAACAAGACCTATCAATGCCACCTTCAGCTTTAGTCCCCAAAGTTCGGTCAGGTAATCGTAATGCTGTGTCGAAGTCGCTTTTGTTATGCTTGATATCGTCAATAGGGCAACATAGAAGAACGCCACCTTAATGTCCAGATTTGGTCCATCATTTAACGTCTTTAACAATAGCCAAAGGCATACGGGTAAAAAGGAAAAACTTAAAGCCCATAGAATTCTTAAAAATATCATCTTAAGAGCAGATTCCCACGGAATTAATCCTGACAATGTTTTCCATAACTGTGGTTTCTTGTTTGTGGATTGACTGCGCTTTAATTCACCGAACCAGTATTTTTCAGCCTTTTTCACGAGCAACTCCGCTTTGTAATCCTCAAGGAGTGGAGGGGAATCCTCATCAGTTAGCGGTCGCTTCCTACCCAGGCTCATCAAGTCATTCATCCACCAAAAGAACACGACTGACGCAACACTTGCCCCTTCTCTGGGGTTGCTGACCTCGGAGCTCCGCGGCATAATCCTGAGATAATATACTGCCCTCTTCTTGTCACACAGATCGATGAACTAACGTGTCTTAAAGATAAAAAAATTCATATATTAAGTGACTTAAATGGTCAACGTACTCTGTTATCACTCCTCAAATTATCATATTTTCTCCAAAAAGTTCGACAGTATTTACGTTAAGCGTCTAGTGACGAGAACTGAGTGTTGAAGAATATGACTCCGGGAAGGAAAGCAGCAGCAAAGATTGCCTAACAAAGAAATCCACTTTTACCAGACCCTGTGACCAATGGAGTTCCCTTCACACGCTCATTCAGTCCAGTTCTTAACCGTGAGCCGAAAACACGCCTTCAACTTGTTTCCCCCACTGAAATGTGGTAATATTGCCTGGGGACAAGATGAAGCTTCATCTCCATTGCAAGCTACTTACAACGAGCTGTGATGTTATCGAAACCACGTGCTTTACCACCTCAAAAAGTCGTGTATTTTCGCTAAAATTTCATCTTGGCCAGTTTTCTTTGGTCACACAATGCACAGTAAGCGATGTTTTATACTGCAAAAAAAAAATCAGATACATCAACGAAAAGAGCCTAGACTAGCCTCGTGCACGATCAGAGCATAACGTGAGAGCACACGGGCGCTGTTATCCGTTCATGCATGACGAATTATAGCCAATAATTTTTAAGACAGCAAGAAGAATCTTGTGAGTCCTTTCGAACGAATAGATTTCCCTGAAACGATTCAACTTCGAATTATTATCATGATGTGTAGTGTGCTTCGTTACATAGCGTTACCACTGTAAGGACACTTCCTATTACTCAATCGTGTCGTAAATCTAATTTTCTAAGTAAAAGTAAAATAACTAATTACAAGTATTGTATAGTATAAATGCTATCTTGATTATTGAATAAAGGACAGTTGAATCAGAGGAATTACTCGACCTATGAATGCTCTAATACTAAGCATGCAGTTTTTTGTATGATTGCGGTAAAGACGGGGCAGTGACAGGCACACACGAAGCGGCTCGTCACAGTATTTCTATGCCTAAGCGTCTCTGCCCGAAAGTGAGCAGTATTTTTGTATACATTTGGATCGTTCACGTTCAAAATGACAACTAGTTTAAATCAGAATATTGTAACTTACTGAACTTGGTACGCGATCTCCTCTTGCGCTATTCAACAATATCATCGAAACGTACTGAGAAAGAAATAACACACATATAAATCGAATGACATTTTCTTGGGATGCAGTGACTCGGAAAAAGACTTCTTTCGTCGTTCACGTGAGTTCGTCGCGAATGATTAAAATTCAGAGTGTAATTTATTGTGTCTTGTAATGTGCAGCACCGCCGTTGTTATTCGTAATGGCGGACACGAAGGTACCGAACGAAGGCAGAGCAAGGCAAGACTAAGGCACCATATGGAAATATTACAACACCTTGGACCAATATCAATATAGCAATATTTTTTTTTTGATACTGTCGTTATAGTTGCAATTAAATCGTCTTTGATCTCTAATGAAGTCTACATTTGGAGCGGGACTTTCATAAATTTTACTCAAAAGACCACGAAGAAACTTTGCAGAAAACAACTTACTGATTTTTGGTGCCTTTCTTCAGCAGAACAGCATGGTGGCAGCGATCACATAGTTCGACCATGCGACCATTTCTTATTCTTGCTGATGTTGGACCATTGAAATTCACTCCTTTTGAACAGCGGTGTACATTTTGATTCTATCGCATCTCAAGCGGCCCAGGCGCACTGTGTATGATTTCAGGGTTCAAAAGTTATTGACAGAAATCTCTAATATGCTGAATTAGAAAACGTGTATTAACTGGATTAGTACAAGCAAAAATTTCGTGAGTTACTACATCACGGGCGACGAGTTGGGGATGAAGAAAAGACCGAAATACGAGTGGTCAGCGGGTAAACAAATTTAATACTTCATATAGAGACATATCAGTTATAGTTGCGGAAAACAATAGTCTTCTAAAGCCGAAATGTCAACAGTATACTTCGCTAAATAAAATGTTAAGCAATTTTTCAAAAGTGTTGATGTCACATATATCTTTTACTGCTGTAATAAACAATGGAAGTATCGGAAAAGGCATCGGTGGCATCTGGAAAGACACCAAGAAGAATTATATTTACGTTTTGTAACTTGCTGCGTAACGAAAAAAGAAAACCAAAACCGTGGACCCCAAATTAATTCTCCCACCTTGCCCCAAAAAAATTTCAAATTTTCCGCAACTTCACCAGTTCCTATTCGTAGGTCCGGCCAAGCCTATATGGTCATTGGCTCCCGTATAGCCACTAACTATGGCTTATAAATACAGTCATTTAGTGTTAAACTGTAAAACTCTCCGAAGAAGTCTACGACAGTTAAACGAAACGCGTCGGAGAATAAAGAAATTTTACAACTACCGTTCGCAGAGTGCTGCTAACCAGTTTAGTTTTAAAGATTTTTTTTAAAAATGTGGTGCGATAGCTATGGTCAGTTTTTCCATGTAGGTTGTCTGGATGTACCTTTCGCATAGACGTGGGGGCGCAGAGACACCAACACAACATTTCACCTGTCGTTCGCTTCGAAAGCTTTCATCCCGAGTTCATTTGCTAAATAAAAAAGAAAAAAAACACTTCGAACGGAAAACATAATTATTTTAACGCCTGGGTCTTTTGAAAAAAGGTCTCCTAAACGAGTGGCCCTGATTATAAATATATAAGCATGGTAAATACATTAGCCTTAACTTGGCTGTTTCTCGAAGCTCAGTGTTTTCCTACATACCTTTTTCACGTGAAACGAGGCGATTTAATATATATAAAATACATTAAAAGAACTACAGCAGATGGAAATTTAAAATTTCTTATCTAAAGGCTGTGGATACCAACTTATTAATGACTCTAAAAATATAAAAATCTGGAACGAAATTTTTTTTAGAGTTGCTTAGCTTTTCATTTTTCCGGAATCGAAAGTCGAGATTGCAAAATTCAAGTGAAAAGCAAACCGACTGTGATTAATGCCTTAAACAAGTCAAGATACTGTTTTTCGTCATACAACAAGTTACTTATCGTAAATATAATTCTTCTTGATGCCTTTCCCGGTGTCACCGATGCCTTTCCCGATGCCTCTGTTGGTTAATATAGCAGTAAAAATATTGTTCCAGTCAAAGCGTTTGGAAAATTGCTTAACTTTTGAATTACCGAAGTATGACCTGGTAACATTTTGGCTTTACAACACGATTGTTTTTTGCGTGTTACAAAACGTAAATATAATTTTTCTTAGTGCCTTTCCGAATGCAACCGATGCCTTTCCCGATACGATACGGAGGAAATTTTGACTTGTACTACCCTAGTTAAATATTCATATTTAGCGTATTAAATATTCTATTAATTGCCTGAAACTCAGAAATCACACTTGGGCCGCCTTTGGTCGTATTCATCTTTGTCGGGGGATTCAATCAAATTACTTTACGAAATAAAACTCTGGAGTCTATTTTTCGGGCTTTCTAAATGGCCTTAAGCTTAATTAATTCGCTGTTTGCCCACCCGTGAAAAATAATATAATTGCATTATCACTTACTCATCCGATACAATTACTAAAGTTGTCAGTGATCTGACGGAGAAAGAATCCTGAGTTCTAATATGTAACCGTTATTTTTAATAGTACTGGTTATCTCTAAGGTAGAGCTAAAACTTATTGCAACAGTTATTGAAAAACAAATGCTATGAGGAACTCAGGAGCTTAGCCACGAAGTCTTTTCGGGGCTATCTTCTTGAAAAACAGTCAAACCAATAGAAAACAAGATAAACCACCCAAACTGGTAACGGCGGTAAGATGACGGCAAATTCATTTTTATTTCGCAAGATTTCTTCCGTTTTTTTGTTTGTTTGTTTGTTGTTTACTCTTTTCTTTTGTCTCGTCTCACTGTTGACACACATAATCTATCTTTGAGCTGTAGTTCAACGCTGAGTTTCAAAAATAGTAGGAAGCGTTTGGTTTTTTGTTATCTCGGATTCTACTGCAATGAACTCAATAGCTACATTACCCCATTAATCCAAGTGAAGTAAGTTCAATGTCGCCGCATGCGCAAGAAATAACTCTAAGTCAATGATCAGGTAGAATCGGGCAAGTTAATGACGATTAGTAATGAACCGTAACCAATTTTGAAAAGCTGAAGACGTGTCTACATTTTCCTTGGACAAAGAGATCGTTGTTATGCTACTAGCTTGAAGGCTTGAACGTCACGCTCAGCTGTCAATTTCTATTCAGAGGGTTGCTGAAGGAGGCTAACATTGACCGTCCGGGTAAAAAGTATATGTGTATATAAGCTTATTAATTGCTTAAAAAATTGCTTAAGAATATTGTACACAACTAACACAAGGCAACCAAATTCAAGGCATGAACATATCGTGATCTCTAGAAGGGTACAGCCGCGGAGGAAGTTTGGGTCCAAACCAAATGTCTCCCCAGCGAGGGTAGTGCATAATACCATCCAGACTTCTACAGCAAAAGAAGTCGCCGGCCTTTCGACAGCAACCGTAAAGGTGAAATTTGTGTCCAGAAGCTTCTGAGCCTGCACGACACGTTTTGACCTTACCTTGTCCCCAAGTCGCGAATGCGAGAAGGTAAAGTTTAATTTCACGTCCTAACGAGATCACGATTTCGAAATGTAACCTTTTTCCTCGCTAATTGATTGTAAAATTCTCCACTTATTAGATACCGAAGCAAGGTGAAGTTGCATACTGATTGATCTGAAAAATATTTTAAATGTTCTGGAATTCTCTGACACATAAACAACAACAACAACAACAAATGGGTTTTGGTATATCAAACCTGAGCTTTCAGCGAACTGATTGATTTCATTTAGCGTTGTTTTCAATACCGCTTATCAGAATCGACTTACATTGCTTGAAATAATTACTATTTCAATCCGGTAATTCCTTCACCTCTCCCTAACATGTCATCAGAGGTCTTTTTCATCGACTCAAATTACTGCTGACTAAATCTAGCGAGTATTACGCCATGCGCACGAACTTACATGAACGCGCTACCTACTAATTTAGCGGAAGTTTAATTTATTGTGCATACAAGGCTATTGTCTTCCCTGCATAATGCTTCTTTCTCCTCGATCTGAGCGGCAATTAAGCGCCTCCACTGATCTTGAATAGCCGCGAAACCTCCCTATGCTCCATTTGTCACTGACTGTATCGGATCGATTAGGAATTTGATAACTAAGATGTGGAAATTTATCGGTTTTGACGGTGTTGCATGCGGTTTTCGGTACTGATCGAATTTTTTCGGTTTTGCGGTTTCTAATGGACCCCAATGCCCCTCTCCTACAACTCATTAATTCAAAGCCACGGAGCAGGATGGATTTTTGTCAGGCGTGAAATTTGGTAGATTTTTCAATTTACAAGCCACGATTTGAAGGAACAGGTCGACCAAGAAAACTTGGTCTTACCTTTTAAATGCGAGTCTTTCAAGCAGAAGGCCGCCACAGTATTTAAAATTTCCGCGGCAATCAAACGGTGAAGATAGAAGATTTGTACCTCGTGATGCTGCATGACGATCAGTGGTCAGAATACTCAGAATACAACTATTACGTCTCCCAATTTTACGCTTAAGCTGAATACTGCTAAATTGATTCATCCATGTGATTGACACTTTGTTGTTAATAAATGTTTTGTTTATATTTTCAATGCGCCCACGATTGACCAACTGAAAAATTAGGTGCGCGCCCTAGGTTTTAATCCATAAGTAAAACGCTCGTTGACAGAACGTTCGTGAGCAATCTCCACTGCCGCGTAAAAAATCAACACCACGCGTAATTTTTTTATATTTGCAAAAATTGCACGCCCGTGCTTAATTTATGAAGTTGAAGAGTCATATATAGTCAATGGATGCGATAACGCAGGTGAACGTTCATTTAAACGTGCGTTTTTTTTGTTGTTGTTGTTTTTTTTTGTGTATAATGCACGTTCACCTGCGACAGTGAAAATCAAGCTTGAGGGCCTCTTCATATGAGCGCGGTTGACTAGACTGGCCCGGTTTCCAAGATCTCGGCACATCTCTAATCCTTTGAAAAAATCTCGACGTGTTAATATGGGCAGGTGGTCTGGCTCGGTTCCCGAAATTTTCCCAAAATGAACTCTTTGGCTCGGTTACTGGGATGAATTTTCTCCAACTACGCGTGTAACGGATTTGGCCGCCGGCGGAGCACGGCCTCAGACAACGTGGACAGCAATGGCGGCAAGCGAGCAGATTTCTTCTTCTTCGAAATCTAAGACATTCTGTCAGCGGAGAGATATGATCAGCAACTTGATTGAATGTTTAAATGACTTCAAATCTAAAATAGAATAAAGAAGCCTTGATTTTAAAGCGGAAAAACAAATCCAATACCAGGAACTGCGAGCGGAGATGGCAAAGCTTTATACAGACGATTTGTCCATGTTCGGCCACGTTTGTTTTGTTTCTCACATTTCGCGCCAAAAACTAGTCCTCAGGAAATTAGCGCCTGAAATTTCCCACTTGAACCCATTTCGTACCGTAAATATGCCAGCTCGGTCTACTGGACTCATGTAAAGAGGACTTAAGGCTGTGCTTTCCCCACCTTTTATTAGCGGACGTCACGTCTTTGTAAATTGACAAAATTGTCTGCCGCAGTTGTAAACAGCAGCTTATATAAATCAATTTTTACCGGCTGTTCCGGTATTTTCACTTGAGTGGGCAGTAATATACCAGACACTCCTTGTGATGTGATGCTAGGTGGTGTGATGTGTGCGATGTTCAGGTCTTTACCCTTAGAATAAGTCATGTCACGCCAGCCTACTTTTCTATCTCTTCACGACAGCTCAGGCCGACTGAAGCAGTA